TAATTTTTTTTATTTTTTATAAAGGGGTTATTACCCCTGGAAAGCAATCTGCCAAAGTATGAAGAGGACTGAATGTCGTGCCTGGAATTTCCAATTTAGGTGCTATTTACTGCTTTGTGAACATATCATTAACATTCTTTTGTCCTAAATTGTGCATTCACTACCTCCATCTCCAAATGGCATGAGAAATCTACACATCATGAAAAAGAAATGATTAATTGCAGAACAATACCTGTGTGAATTGTGGTATATAAATGTAAGTTGTTGTTAAATCCCAATGGGGAAGATGATATTCTTTTCCATAGTCCACACATTTAGACTGATCGAAACAGTAATCTTTGAACAAATTTACAGTCCAATTTGCAATTTACTTAAATATGGAACCATAATCCTTTAGTTTAGTCAGGACAATATCCTGGAGGGGGTCCACAATTTCAGTTTGTACTATTTAGTTATGTTTTTCAGATATTATTTGAAAATATTTTGAAAGCTACGAAAGACAATGGCAATTCCTCCTTTTCAAATTAGGAAATAACCGCCTAAGTAATATAAATAGTCTCAACTACACATTTAATGCAAATACCTTCTGAAACAGAATGTGTTCAAACATCCTTTGTTTTTCAGATTAATAACAGTATTGTTGGGATAATTACAGTACAATCAATAGTGGCCCTAATGTGTTCATTTCGTGAGATGCAGTAATGAACACCTAATGGCTGGTAATGACTATGATTCACAAACAAAATCTTGCTGTCACTATAAGTATCATGAAACATGGCCTTATCTCTTCATTGCTCAAGTTGCTATAGCACAGGTCCAATCTACACCCCTGCAATGGAATCACAACCTTTTTTCTTCCCTCATTCAGGCAGAGTGGAGGAAAAAAACACAGTGTACTGAATCACGTATTTTGATTTGCTTATCGCCACTTCAGTTTATATTTGCTGATCGCAGTAACTCTCAGCTCTTTTCCAAATCCAATATACAGCATTAATCTTTAGCATTGCATAACATTACTTCTCTCAACATTTTAATTCATTTGACTTTGGAGATTTTTATTCACCAGCGCCTGGAATCCAACTTGATTAGCTTGCAGAGAGATGGTGACAACACTCTCACACATAACATGCTGAGCTGTGTTGCCCATCAGAAAGCTCGCAGGGAGTTCCTGGTACATATCATTCATACAGTGAGGGCTCAAACCCACACTAGTCAGATGTCAAATGACCAACTTGTGATTATCCTCCTTGTGGGGGAGGTAAGCAGGGTCTCCTTGAAACTGAACTGGCTCCAAGATGACATGTTTGGCAATGGAATGTCATAATTGAGCCAACCTTCTCTGGCGATCTCAGTAGTCTAGTTATTGAGTCAGGCAGGTCCGCCATACTGCAGTGATAACAGCACATCCAGCCTGGCTCAGCAGCAGGACTTGGAAGGGAAGACTGGGGGCAGGGAATCATCCCATTCAGCTCATGTTAACACTGCAAGCCAAAGCCATAGTGATAGTCCTAGCTGGACAAGCAGCAGGAAAGCTTGTCAGACAGCGATATCAATGGCAACCTATGTGGTTTTAGCTGGTTAGACTCCATGGTTAGACTCCAATGCAAACTCTGGAGTCCCCAAGCCTTGGCTCTTGATAACCTACATCTAATACTTTGGGGAATTAGGTAAGCAGGATGCATGCCTCCAAGGAAAGAGTGCCCATTCCATTCCAACAATCTATCTCTGGAATTTCCATGTATATTGGGATGCATGGAGTTCTCAGTTTGGTTTGGAAACTCTTTAGCATAGTGAAGGATTTCTGTATCTGTCAAAACACCTAGGTGACCAAAAAAAGTACAACATTTGCACAGCATTATCCAGTGTCACATCACTCCAATGAGATAGCATCAGTGTAATTACTTTCTTTGTTTACTATACTTTGGATGAACAGAGACATACTATTTGTAGCTCAACAGCACATACACAATCAGGTGAATAGCCTCCTTCTATGCTGAACACGCTCGCGTTTCTCAGTATTACAGCATTATTTTCAAGCAGCTTTGGCGCATAAAACGTTATTGGGTTGGATGTGTACTGCTGAACATTTTAATATCTGTTCCAGGCGCAAAGCGATCCAGAATAGTTAAGGGCATTTTATTTCTTTCTTTAACATCACATTGATCAGAGCTGAGGGCTTTGCTCACACAGAGCCAATCATAATACCAGAAAATCAAAGCAACCCTGTTGTCACTTCTTGGTCAAAATATTGCGATTAGGCCATATGGATGGAACTGTTTAAGGTGTGATTTTAGTCCTTCAATTCTCGTCCACCATTAAAACCACAATTTTATTGTTCTTATAGACAATGCCCATATCACTCAGATACAAGATCACAAGATTGGTTTTGATCAAAAAGGCCCTTCAACCCATTTGATCTCTTCTTTCCACAATACCCACATTATTGAACCCCCATCATAGCATCAAGATCTTAAATGAGTTCAGTGCACTGGCCTCAACCACCCTTGCTGGTAACCAGTTCCAGTCATTGATTATCCTCAGCATAAAGAAAACCTCCTAGTATCTGACCTGAAATTGTTTTTTATAGCTCTAAACCCACGTTCTTTTGTTCTACTTCCTGGTTGCTTTCTAAAGTATTGATCTGGGATTACCTTTTCAATTAATAAATTAAATTGATTTGCTGGACTTCAGGGTCCTTCTCTGTTGAGGGCAGACATGCTGAATGGATTGATTAAACTGATGTTAGCCATGGGCCTCATCAACAAATGAACCCAATGAATCCAGTCAATTCTAATTTAATGGAACTGATCAGAAAAAGGAAGGAAGTGTTGAGTCATCACTATATTTTAATTATTCAGACACTGAGATAATCAAACTCACAGAGACAGGATGCTCCATTGAAGAAACCTTTGTATAGCAATGTGCATGGTACAGAAAGGTATTTTACCAATCTGGAGCGCAGCATGACTTGTATTTCTTTCTTCTCCTTGTGAATCTCCTTGCTTCTTTCTTTTCTATCTTCTCAGAAAGGAACATTTATTAGTATTCAACAATCTAACGTATCCGAAGTGTCCAAAAAAATCAGTTAAAGCTTTTGTCAGTGCCCTTCTATTTTATCTATTTCATTTTCTGTATATAGAGCTTTGTTGATGTTAGCTATCAAACTCCAGTGACCAATTTGTTGCCCGTTACTGCAATATTTTCATTGCAAGTTTTGTTTCTGATCCCTGGGTTTGGCTGCCAGACCTAGAACACTGTGGTATTTCTCTAAAGGATACGGATCAGAAATCATTCAAAATTACCATTATCTTCTGATCTGCTTTGGCCGATTGACCACCTTAGGCTCGAAATTCCATCTGTTATTAGCCTGTGAGATCATTTTGTGTTAAAATTTCAAACTGCTCAGAATTGTGGAAAATTCAGAAATTCAGTCTTAATTTAGTTAGCAGTTTGCCGTAGTTCTTCAAGAGACCTGACTTCCAAATTATGAGTGAATTTAATAATTTTTCCACACTCTGGCCCACTTTAAATTGTCAAGACACGATGGTCTTATAGGCTAAGATGAGATGGAACTTCTGGCCTTTATTCTTAAGGTTCTGAAAAATGTCGCCACACATTTTTAGAGGTCTTCTCTGTTCTGTGCTGCACATAACAAATTCACGTGCACTATTATGCTTCATTTGCTAAGTATTTGTGCCTGCATATGTATAAATAACTGTAATGCAATTTTAAATTGTGCAGAAAGCTATTTTCCTAAAATTTTATTCTTCTCATAAAATTGGATTACTAATATTTATTAGAACCTGGTGAAAAAATCACTAGACTTAGCAAACAAAGAACCGATAGAACTAAGCACCAAATTCACCACAGAGAGAAAATTAACCCCATAATAGTTTTTACTCCTTTTGCTGACTATAGTGTTAGTCCAGCTCAATTGTTAACATGATCACCTCTGAATCAGTAGGTTGTGGGTTTAAGCCCAATGTTTTGGAACTCATAGTTTGGGCTGACACTCCAATGTGCTCCATTGTTAGTGGTGACATCCTTTGGATAATATGTTAAACAGGTTCTGACTGCATGGTCAGGTGGACATTAAAGGTCCAACTGAACCAATTAAAAAGAAAAGGGAGTTTCTTCCAGTCAATGCCCTTTACAGCATATTCTGTGAAGTGCTTTTAGACGTCTCAACAACATGATAAGGTGCTTTATCAAATGCAAGTATTATTATTATTAGAACCCTACTTCCCCCCCCCCAAACTCTGTTGGTGGGCGAGTGTTCATTATGAGAACCTGTCTGGTTCTCTCCCCTCCCCTTTGAAGTACGCCTTAAGGGCTATCTTTCTGATCTCATTTTTGGTCACCTCTTCCCCCAACACACATTATTGAGCTTTCCCCTTCTTCCACCCCCCCACCCCCCATTTCCCCCCGTTTCCCCCCCAACCTTTGAGTCACCACCCCATCATGCAAGGTGCTACATAAACTTAAAATTCTCAAAGCCCTCTCTTCCAAACAGACCGACAGAATCTCAGTTTAATGTTTCACCTGAAGGACATTTAGTTGTGAACTGGGTGGCTGATATGACTGCCAGGGCATCTGACAGGAAATGGGCTTGGAGCAGTACAACATCAGTGGCATCTATTTGTTTTTTAATGTCTCATTTCATCTGTTCGTATTTTGAACATGTTTCCTAAAACACTGAGGGGTTTCCATAGATCTGTCTGGATGTGTTACAGTGTTACAGCACTCCTCATACCACAAAATAATAAAGCTATATTGTGACGATTAAAGAGAGTAAAGCAAAATATAATGTTCATTGCAACTGAAGGAACTTGTTGTGGATCGAGGATAAAGAGGGGAATGTAAAGGTGCTACCTTTCATCACACTGCTGAGATATGAGCTTTAAATTGTGTAACAGTGGGAGCATGTGAGAGTTTTGAAAACTGAATTGTGTCACCAAATCCATGAGTTCTATTTAATGAAATGTGTTCCCTCACTCTAGGACATCCAGCAAGTCATTCTGTTACTCCAGCTCCAGAATTAATGAAACCTCCAGCAAAGAAACCTGCAGCAGCCACTGTTCAAGGCAAGTAATGTTTATCATTATCATTTATTGCAGAGACGTGGATGCAGGCTATATTAAATATACCTCATATATTAAATGAAATGTGTAACCTAGATGTGCCTCTGAAAAGTTTGGAAAATCCAATTTCCACCCTGTGGAACTCCATCCCGCAGTCCCTCTGTCTTGCCCCCCTCCCCCGGCACCTTCATGACCGACCTCAAGACCCTCCTCTTCAACCGTGCTTTTGATCTTCCTGCTTCCTCCCTGGCCTCCACCCTCCCCCACCCTGACCCTCAGAGCAGGTCCGTAACTGTCTGTCCAGCACCTTGGGATGTCCTCCCAACGTGAAAGGTGCTATACAAATGTAATCTTGTTGTTGGTGTTGTTAATATTTCAGACCTGAGCTGGGGTCAGGGGGGGAGAAGGGAAGGGAGGGGAAGGGGGGTGGTGGCCGATGGTATGGTCGAAGAAGAGGGTTTTGAGGCGGGACTTGAAGGAGGCTAAGGAGGGGGTGAGGCAGAGTGACAGGGGGATGGAATTCCAGAGGTTGGGGGCAGAGTAGCTGAAGACTCTCCCGCCAATGGTGGGTCAGGGGACGTGGAGCAGGCCGGAGCCGGCTGAGCGGAGGGAACGGGCGGGTTGGTAGGGGGTTAGGAGGTCGCAGAGGTAGGGTGGGGTGAGGCCATGCGGGGCTTTGTAGGTGAAGACCAGGATCTTGAACTGGATCCTCTGAAGGATAGGGAGCCAATGGAGTCGGGTGAGAGTGGGGGAGATGGTGTCATGGAGTTTGGTGCGGGAGAGTTCTGGATTATCTGCAGCCTGTGGAGGGAGGAGTTGGGAAGGCCGACAAGCAAGGCATTTGCATAGTCGAGCCTGGAGGTGGTGAAGGCATGAACAAGAGTTTCAGCGGCCTGAGGGGTGAGGTAGTGGCAGAGTCAGGTGATATTACGGAGGTGAGGAATGGGTCAGAGGAATGGGTGAGGAATGAGACAGAATGGGTCATGGCTTGGATGTGGGGAAGGAAAGACAGTTGAGGGTCCAGCAAGACACCTAGGTTCTTGACTGGTTTGGTGAGTTGAAGTGTGCAACCATGGAGATTGATGCTGTCAGAACCTGAGGTGCAGAGGCGCTGGTGCGAGCCAATCAGGAATGGCTATACCTCCCACCATACCTCACGTCCCAACCGCCATAGCGGTGGTGTGGCCCTCATCTCCAGGACATCACTTGCTCTATCCCCTTACTCCTCTGGCTCATTCCCCTCATTCGAGTACCTTATACTCTACCAACTCTCCTCTTTCCCTGAAAATTCTCCTCATTTACCACCCCCCCCCCCCCCCCAAAACTTCCCTACTTTCATCTCTGACGTCTCCACCCACCTAGCTTCCTTCTGCCTCTGTTCTGAATGTTTCCTCATCCTTGGCAACCTGAATGTTCACTTCACCCCCCTTCTGCTCTATCTCCTTGAACTTCTTCTTTTTCCTCTCCTCTCACAACTTCTCCATCCACATCCACTCTGCAACCCATTTTCTAGTGACCCGGTGATTACCCGGAGCCTCAGTGTCTCGTATATCACAATCACAGACAAAGCCAACTCTAATAAACATTTCATCTCCTTTAACGCCTCAATCCCTCTCCCCAGCACAACAAACCCACCTCTATCTCCTACCACTCCTGGAAAAAAATCTCTCCGCAATACCTCTCCGCTGCCCTGGAGTCATCTGGACTCCTACCATTCTGGCCTATCTCCTGCACTGATTTATCCTCCTCATTCATTCTCCTCCACCACTCTTGATGCCCTTTCCCCCACTCAGCTCTCGAATCGCCTCCTACTCACGAACCTCACCCTAGTATATTAGCCACCTCCGCTCCCTCAAGGGTCAGGTGTGTGCCGCTGAATGCAAATCTGAACTAACAGACCACCGGCAGATCCAGCTGGATCACATCAAAATGTACCGCTCTACCCTCACTTCTGCCAAATCGTCCTTCTACTCCAAGATAATCTTGGAGGCGAAGGACAATCCCAGGCATCTATTCTTCAACACCAACCGAGTCTTCCGTCCACCCTCCCACGCCTCACCCATTCTCTCCTTAAATTCTGGCTGTGAGGCGATACTGGATTTCCTTGAGTCCAAAATCGAGAGAATTAATTCAGCTGACTCTGTCCTCCCAACCTCCATCCCTCCCCATCTGCTCCCTACATTCTGACCCCTAACCATCCCTCCCTCCACATCTTCAAATCTGTCTCCCCCTCCTCTCTTATCACCACCACATCCAGCATGAAACACACAACCTGCTCCCTTGATCCCATCCCCACTCCTCTCCTTATCTCTCAGCTCCACCTCCTTGTCCCTCTACTCTCCAACACCATCAACCTCTCCCTATCATCTGGCACCATTAGCATCCTCCTAAAAACAGCTATGATCACTCCCATCCTGAAAAAAAGCCATCCCTGATCCTAAAACTGCTTTCTATTTACTGGCCCATCTCCAACCTTTTCTTTCCAAGGTCTTTGAAAGAGTTGTTGCTTCCCAGCATCACTCCTTCCTCTCCTACCACTCCCTTCAAGAGCCCCTCTAATCGAGTTTCCGTGCTGCTCACAGCATGGGTACTGCTCTGGTCAAGGTGACAAATGACATCCTGTCCATCTGTGACCAGGGTTCCCTCTGCTTCCTCGTGCTCCTTGACCTCTCTGCTGCCTTCAATACCATGGACCACTACATCCTCCTCCACCGTCTCTCCTCTCACCTCAAGCTTCAAGGTTCTGTCCTTGAATGAATGGTTCAGCTCTTATCTCTCACCCAATTTCCAATTTGTCTCCGCCAATGGTTTCTCTTCCAGCCCATGCACAGTCTTGTGCCGTGTTCCTTAGGGCTCTCTCCTCAGTCCCCTCCTCTTCAACTGTTACATGCTCCCCCTTGGTGACATGATCCGCAGACATAAGGTCAACTTCCTCATTTCAGTATGATGACTTGCTTTTTTTGGGGGAGTAGAAGAAATCTGGCTACTTTCAGTGATGAATCAGTTAGTTAGATGTGTTAAGTTACCTTGGCAAGTTTATTTGAAGGCCTATGGTATATACTTTTGTTTGGTTAGCTGGGGTCTGATATATTATGGAAATTCATCACCATACCATTGAAACCAGACTGAGAATTTCATATATGAATGTCACCTCACATGGACATTTTCTTGTGTCTGGAATGGAATGCATACTCTCCTTGGTGGGATGCATCTACCTATCTGATTCCAGAGAGCATTAAACAAAGGTTAGCGAAAGCCAAAGCTTGAGGACCCCACAGTATGTTTTTGGTACCGTGGGAGTTCAACTAGTTAGTTTGCCATTGAAAACACTGCCATGCAAGCTTCCCACTGCTCGTCCTGCTTGGACCACCATACCCGTTAGGGCTTTGGCTTGCAGGGTTAAGAACAACAACAAATTACATTTGTAATGCGAGTTTCACATCAGGGGGACATCCCAAAGCATTGAAGGTGGCAGAATCCATTCCCACATTGGCCAGTTTGCCCCTCCTATTTCTTCTGATATGCTAGGTTGGTTATGCTGTCATCAGCAGTACCCTGAGTACCACAGAACTGCTTGTTTTAGGGACCAGACAAACTAAATTGTCACAGAGGGAAAATTCACTTCTGACATTCCATTGCAAAGCACATCCCTTGGGGCTAGCTCAATTCCAAGGAGACCCCACTTGCCTTCCCCACCACCAGAGGATAGTCACTCATGGGTCATATGACAATTAACAAGTGCATGTTTGAGCCCTCATGAGGTGGATAGGAGGCATCAGGAATTATTTGTGAGTTTCTTGGTGAGCAGCACAGCTCAATATGAAATGTGTGAGAACATTTCTATCATCTTCCTGTACGCAGCTTGAACATACATCCCCACCCATTGATCAGCGGTGCCAATGGTTTCCTCAGTTAGGAGGAGCAGTGAATCTTTCCACTCAGCTCCTGTTAATGCTGCCAGCCAATCTATGACTGTTTGTGGGATACTGCTGTGTGTAATTGGCCACAAAATTTCCCCCACAAAATGCACAGGCCACTTTACACTATATCCTATGAAGTGCTTTGAGACGTCTTGATGATGTGATAAGCCATTTTACCAAATGCAAGGATTTATTATGTATCACCAGCAATCTTGATGTCTATTATTTTGTTGATTCTTTGCAGCATTTTAACGGCCTCCACAATGAAGTAATCTACATTATTTACAGGAACTCTTGATGTTGCATAAATCTACCCAGTCACCCAGACTTTAATTATTGGTTGTTAATTAATGCATTTTTAGGTACCAATAAAGTCTTTGCCACAATTGTGCAGAGGAGAGATTGGATATTGCAACATAATATAATACCATACAAAATTACATTTGTATAGCGCCTTTCACATCGGGAGGATGTCCCAAGGTGCTGGACAATCAGTGCCTAAGCAGGGGGTTGGAATCAGAGAGGGTGGAGCGCATGGAGGGTAGAAGGATGGCCAAAGGCACAGTCGAAGAGGAGGGTCTTGAGATGTGCTTTGAAGGAGGCAAGTATAAGACATGAAGACAGAACAAGAGATATTGCTTTGTTCATCTCAGTGAGGCAATGTTCGAAGATATATCACAAGGGGATAATGAGGAGCCTCCTATAAACTAGTCATGCTGTTTACGTTTACCATGGAATTGTGTCCTCACATTTGACAGTATGTATGGCACACAATACCAGGTTTCAGACTGGCTCAGTTGGCAGCACTCTTACCTCTGTGTCATATGTGGGTTCAGGTAGCGAGGTGTCGCTTGTTGAGGCTTTGAGCTCATTTAGGCTGAAACTCCGACACAAAGCTCCATGTTAAAAAAAACATGCTTTTCAGTAAAATCGTGTGCAGTGCTTTGAAATGATCTCCCGACAATAGATTATTGTGAACATTTGTAGAAATCAACCGGTCAATGAAGGGTTAAGTAAGATTCATGTGTAAAGCCCTTCTGTAGTGAGGAACAATAATTATTAAAGGTGGCATCAGACATTTGT